CTTAGTCTTAAACTGTTAGTCGCCTACTATATAGTGAATATGTGATTTCAGATGCAGCCCATGTTAATCTGCCACTCTTTTGGGTTGAATGTCAGTAACGTCATCAAATGTCACTGATTTGTGACAGTGTCTAATGACTGAACATCACTGATATCAAACCTGACACCTGGAACCTTATTTAATTTATTTCCATGTCTGCATGTATTATCAATCTATCCTGTTTTATCAATTTCCATGTCTAAATTCACACAACAAACCCATACTTCTTTTAATCATTGTCAGGTTGAATAACATACCAAGTGAATGAATAGAGTAGTAGAAGAATAATACTCATTGTGCTCTATTTTACTTGATGACCTCCATAGAACAGAATGTCTGTTGGTTTGGAATTAACTGAATGAAGCACCAAAGCTTAAGTAGAGTTTATAATGAGAACTGAATGACTTCGATAAGGAACAAATCAGTTGCAATCACATAAATTAATGCACTACTTCTTTTTTTCGTTAAGGCAGGTGCAGTCCTCCTTGCTGGCATGGGCTGCTTTTGCGGTCCCCTCTACCACCAGGCCTTAACCAGTGACCCCAGCTTCAGCAAGCTGGCGCCAATTGGAGGCTCATTGCTCATCGTTGGCTGGGCTGCGATGGCTCTTTGAACTTTGACCCCATTTGGCAGACATTGACCCTGTGATTTTAACGTTGTCAGAGATTGTTCCGTTTTGTCATTTAAACAAGAAAAGAAGAGCCACAGGGGGGATGAAGAAGAGAGGGGTGGAGAATTTCACATTTTATCTAACCCCATTTTCAGTCATGTCTGGAAAGTGATAAGGCTTTGGGATCAAACATAATTCTTTTTTTCCACACTGTCACAGGCATCTTTATTTTGTCAGCATAGGAAAAAAAACTTTTGAGAAGCTTTCCTTTATGGCTTATTGCCGAGAGTGAATGAGTCACACTCTGGGTTTGTTCATGTCTTGAAAATGTATGTACGTACTTTTCCTTTGTTTGAAAAAATAAAGCTGTCTGCAAGGTTGATTGCCAGTTTGACCTTTTGATGTTGGAGGAAATATCTCTCTGAACGACTCTCCCAGGTCAACGATCTAAATAGCCTTCAGGCTTTTATCCTGTAAGTATGACAGTACAAAGCATTCCATTATCGCCAAACTCACTTTTAGCACTTCTAGTGTCCAAACTTATCTTTATTCAAATGAAAAGTGAAATCCAATGAGGTTCTAATTCCAGGGCCTGTGTCTGTCGGCACATAGCTGGATTGGGAACCTTTGGAAATTGCTTTATAAATCCTCAGGTCAATTTGCAAGGGCAGCTTCATAAGCCAACTCTATTGAGGTGAGAGGCTTCTATTGACGCTGCACGTCCCAAAAAGGTGATCACACCACTCGTAAAACTCTCATTAACTTGGGCTATTAGCAGAGCCGTGCAAATCAGGGCAAGGCAATCAAACCACTTCAGTCCCCTCCTCACCATGCTGATGAAAGAATATTTCTCAGTGCTTGTAGAAAGAAAGACATTCATATTGGAAGGACTGATCAATATAAAGGCATTTTCAGTTATGGATGTATGATTAGGTATGATTTTGGTGTCTATGGCACCAAACTGAAGCCTGTTTTGAAAAGTTTCTTCCTTGTTTCCTCTTCCTCCTCCCTGACATTTCAATAGCGCTGGGAATTCCACCAGTCACTCATTACTGAAGTCAGATCAGGGTCTCCTCGTTAAATCCATAAAGGCGTATCGTGCCCTGCTTCATGAGGCCGTGTTAAGTGTCTCCTCCCTGGCTCTGTCTGGATAGATGCAGCCAGTAAAAATCGATGTTTAAAGCAACCAATACATTGCAGTGGCCCAGTGGTCATTCGGTCATTAAATTCTCATCGCGCTTGAATGATCTTTCTGTGTTTGAACCAGCATCTAAGGGGCAATGCTGTGGGCAAGCAACTTTTAACTTGGTTTTGCTTCAATTGGGTAAGAAGCGGTCAGTGACAGTATTGTTAATTGCGACTCATGGGAGCTTAAGTCTCTCTTTGTCGGCATTCACGTGGCTTAACTTCTTCCCCTGAACACCAACTGACATTTTGCATTTACCCTCAGTGCAAGTTAATTTCCCAGTCTGATTTAGTGCGACCCCGGTTGTCGAAAGCGGCGTTGTCTGAAGGTGTGGGAGGTTAGGACTTTGAATGAAATGCCCACACACACTGATATTACTCAAACCCTCTTTCCCGCTCCCTTTTTTTGAGGTGCAATCATAGCAACACATCCCACAGAAGATTACTAAAACAATTTCATCATGTCAGTCTCTTTTCAACCCCTGCACCAAAATGTGCTGCTACAAAAGCTGTCACTAAACATTCTTCAATGTTAAAATCTCATTTGAACTGCTGTCCAGCCTTTTTTGGGCCATAAACATGGCCACTGCAGTTTTGTGTGAGAGGCAAGTGGACTCTGTTAGTACAAAAGCTTGATTAAAGAATTGAATACAGAAGAGCTTTGTATTATAAATGAAGATATAATTATATGTGCATTAGATTACAGGGTTCAGTCGTTAATTAGAAGGTGTAGAGAGAATGATACTGCGGAAGTGAAGAATTAAAAGCACTTCGCCGTCTTTGGCCTCCTCCGTTTCTTCTACGGCGCTGTAAGCCTCTCAGATGCTACTTCAAAGGGGAGGTATTTCAAGGTGACACCACAGCACAGGGGGTCGGAATGGGACGGGGAGAGCTGGCAAGGGTTTTGAAAATCTTTTGATCACTTTTCACCTCCTGGAAAAAAGTATTCGAGCCGAGGAGAGGAGGAGTTTAAAAGCTGTCGGGAGTATTTGACTGGAGTCCATGATGTATGTCTTTTAAAAGCTTGTGTCCTCAAATGGCGCTTTTCCACTGCGTGGTACGACACGGCTCGGTATGGCTCAGTACGGTACGGCACGGCTCGGTTTGCGTTTCCACTGCAGTTTAGTATCGCTTTAGAGTGGGCAGGATTATTCACATGTCTATAGTTGCGCCGCCTCTATTGCCGCGACTCCTAAAAAACGTTTTCATTCCGCGTCGCCCCATCAAGCTCTCGCTGAATCCGCTCTTCTGCTATCAACGAGAGGAACATCTGTACTTCCTCAACAGGGGGAACAGCCGCTTTTTGGTTGTTAAAAAAGGTGTGCTCGTTCAAAACAGTTGCGTTCGATCCTTCACTGGCTGTGCTGATTTAAATCTAGCGGTTCTTTTTTGTTTGTGTCGCAAGTTCAGTGACGCAGGTAGTGACGATTCTCTCCGGCCAATCCGTGATCAGCAGAGTTTACACGTCACGTTTTGGTACGGTACGCTTGGAACTCCAACCGAGGTGGTACTAAAAAAAGTACCAGGTACTGTACCCAGTGGAAAACCCCCCAAAAGTGAACCGTGCCGTGCCGTACCATGCAGTAGAAAAGCGCCAAAAGAGTTGCGGTTCTCAGACCTCTTCATGTTGCATACCAGATCACCAAAACAAAAAATGCGGACCACCTTAAAACTCCAAATTTGGGGAAAACATTCAGCTACCTCAAAACAATCACATACATTTTTTAAGTGCACAAGTTATACTTAGTTTACTCATTAATCAAATAATTGCAATTAATCTCATATTGTCTTTATACTTGAATTGTGTTGAAAGCCTTTACCTTTTAACAGAAGTAAAAACAAATCCGCATTCAGTTTTATGAAAAATAATGTTATGAAAATGTTGTATCTTTCCCGGGAGTTCCTCCTCACGATAACCTTTATCTTGCTCTCTGAAGATTCCAAGGCTGTATGAAAGCTGCTTTTGAACAATATTTGTTATGAAAATCTTCAATTATGAAACTTCAAATTTATTAAAAAAATTTTTTTTTTATAAGTCGTCTCATATTGTCGCCAAGGCTGCATTGATTAAAAATACTATAACATGCAGTAATATTTTTTTTTTAACAATTTAAAACAGCTGTTTTCTATCTCAATGTATTTTTAAATAAAATTCTGTGACGGCAACATTGAAGTTTCAGTCCTCAGTGTCACGTGGTTCTTCAGAAATCATTCTAATGCTGGTTTGGTGTGCAAAAACATTTTTGTTATCAATGTTAAAAACAATTGAGCTGCTTCTTTTTTGTGGAAACTGATTCATTTTGTTCTTTGATTAATAGAAAGTTCAGAAGAACAGAATTCATTTGAAATCTTTTGTAACAAATGTTTGTTACAAATATTACAAAATATATATTTTTGAAAAATACATTTATACCATTTTTTACATTTGTAACAAACATTTGTTACAAAAGATTTCAAATAATATACTGTGTATATACAGGTGCATCTCAATAAATTAGAATGTCGTGGAAAAGTTCATTTATTTCAGTAATTCAACTCAAATTGTGAAACTCGTGTATTGAATAAATTCAGTGCACACAGACTGAAGGAGTTTAAGTCTTCTTTTAATTGTGATGATTTTGGCTCACATTTAACAAAAACCCACCAATTCACTATCTCAACCAATTAGAATATGGTGACATGCCACTCAGCTAATCAACTCAAAACACCTGCAAAGGTTTCCTGAGCCTTCAAAATGGTCTCTCAGTTTGGTTCACTAGGCTACACAATCATGGGGAAGATTGCTGATCTGACAGTTGTCCAGAAGAAAATCACTGACACCTTTCACAAGGAGGGTAAGCCACAAACATTCATATGAACTTTTCCACAACATTCAAATTTATTGAGATGCACCTGTAGATAGCATATGTGTATATATATAATGTGTGTGTATATATAGCTGCCTTTCAGGAATGGGTGTCCACTTTTTACCAATGATCATTTCTGTCCTTGTTTAAAAATTAAACTAAATTATTATAATAAAATATAGAGATATGTTTATAATAGAATAAAATAGCAGAACTTAAATATTTAACAGCGTTAAAACAACGTCGATTGTTTATTGTGAGACATAAATCGGTGCACATAAATATTATGTATAATTGCACCTAAAGCTGATGGCCTGGATAGATTTGTGTCCCGGTAGAAGTACTACTAATCCCAGGATTCTCGGTGGAGCTCCGTGATTTCCGGTGAAAGTGTTGCCAGTGGGAAGCTGCGCGCAGGGGGGACCTGTTGGAGATGACGCGAGCTGAAATCTTGTTTCAGAAAAGAAATCACAACAAACAACCCGGGGTCTAAGGCAGAGTGCGCCGAGCCAGCGGAAAACCGGGTGTGTGTGTCCACTATAAACAATGAATATAATCGCTGAATCTGGTGAAGTTTAGCTGGTTAGCACGTTAGCTCGCTCCACACCTGCTAGTCGGCTCATTTGGACTGCTTGATCTTCACGCATCTCATGATCGTTTGTCACATAAAAATAATCTGTTCCCTCTCATATAATACGTCATGTGGAATTCTTGTTTAGATGACATATTTCAGAGGTGTTGCTACGTTTATAATAATGACCTGTCAAGTAGTTCAGTAGTAATGTCTCGCTAGAGAGACATTAGCTGGCTAATTAACTTAGCTGATTAATCTGCCCACTGACCTACATTCCGCTTCAGCCGCTATGAATAACTAACCTGCGTTTAACTATTTAGGTGGTATTAAAAATTAATCTGAGTTTGAGATGGGTAATTAGTGGTAAAGTTACTGAGTAAATACGGGTTTTCTGCATCAGCGGTTTAGTGTGTTTATTACTTGATGGCGTAAAACGTTTAAAATTAAAACTAAATTAAAATTCATACATTTATTGCGAGTCGTTGATACTCATATTGATTCGTGTGATGATTTTGTGACAGTATTGGGAATATTGTTATGGTTTCTCTCAGGTAATGCTCAATGGAGACGCTCATGAGTGCCGTGGCCCCGCGTCCGCCGGCGACGGTGAAGCGGCTGTCCGAGGTGGACTTCCGGTCGGGCACGACGCTGGAGCAGCTGTCGGCTCAGGTGCAGGAGCTCGTGCAGCTGGAACAGGAGGAGTTCGGAGACCAGACCGCGCTCGAGGTGCACACGGCCAAAGACTTCATCTTTAATATGCTGGGTGAGAATATCACCGTGTACATGCATATATAAATAATATTAATACTGTCCTCCAAACATCTTTATATTACTGCTGTAGTTGTTTGAGTCAGAACAATAAAATCTCTCTCACTCACACACGCACACACGCACACACACACACACACACACACACACACACACACACACACACATATGTCTGGTCAGCTATCCTTGTGGGGACTCTCCATAGGCGTAATGGTTTTTCTACTGTACAGACCCTATATTCTATTGCCCTACACCAACCCTACCCCTAAACCTACACCTCACAGGAAACTTTCTGCATTTTTAGATTTTCAAAAAACTTCACTCTGTATGATTTATAAGCTTTTGTACCCGTGGGGACCACAATTTAGGTCCCCACCGTGACACGAGTCCCCATGAGTCTGTGAGTAGTCAGGTTTAAGTCCCCACCAGGATATATAAACCAGTACACACATACACATACACGTGTGTGTGTCTAAGTAACGGTTTATCTGTATATAATATTAATAACATTTAAAAAAAATACTAATAATATATACAACATGCAAATATCTTCAATATTCTTATTCACATTCAGGAAAAGGATGCTAAGAATGAAGAAAACTCTTCATGGCAATTGTGAATTTTCTAAAACAGATGTGAAAGACCAAGTATCCCATTTCTGGCCAGAAATTTCAGTTTTTAAGGAAGATTTTATTGTACTGATAAGCTTTATTTATCCAGGCCTCTGATTCCGAGCTTGGGCCAAGTGAAGCTGTTTGTCCAGCAGATGTCTCTAGTTGCCCTTGTTTTTTCCCCCCCTCAGTATATCACACCAGATCTCCCCCAACACCCATTTCTTGCCCTCCCCTGCCACAGTGTAAACACAATAAATGTCATCCTTTTTGTATGACATAAGTGAGGGAGAGACAGATTTGCAGAACTGTATTGTTCTTTAAAAACACCACTGAAGCTGCTTCACATAATCCTGTCAAATGCTGGATTATGTGACAGTTTCTCTTTTTCTCTCATTCAGTTTTTCCTCCCTCACCTGCTGTTTTTTTTAGCCATAGCCTCCTCTCTTCTCCACTCTTCTGTTTTTGTTTCACATGTTGCATTGTTACCTGTGAATGATACAGTACTTGGATTTACTTTTGGAACTTTGTTTACTGACAAGGTTGAATTATAATTTTTTCCTGCTAGTGTAACTCTTGTGTTTCTTTTTGTCTGCCTCCTGTTGCTTTCATTTCCCTTTTTCTCTCGTCTTTAACCCCTTGATGTTCAGCCAAAAGCCTACTTATTATTCTTGCTTGCTGTTTCCATCTCTTGCTCCCTAAACATATGCAGACATTTTCAAAGCAACATCCATCACACACCTACTGAGAGTTATGGGTAGAAAGCTTTTTATTTTTATGCTAGGTAGGTTGCTCCTTAGCATTCATTTAGAAAATTCTGCCTCGTTATGTATGAATGAAAAACTGATGCTCTAGTTTTGGTGACCCTTACCTGTCCATCAGGGTTTAGATTTTAATTCACTTCAGAATACCTGAATAGATCCATGTAAAGCATGTGCCTTGATTTAAATTGGCATTGTTGTCTGCTTCCTTTAGCAATCATCATGATTTCTATTTTCACGCTTCCATGACCTGCATACATTAACATACCGTCTGCATGCCAGCCTCTAGACTCACTACAATCCTGCAAACGTGTTTCTCCCAGAGGAGCTAATTAAATCGGAACAGTGTTAAAAATGTAAATGGCAAAAGAGATCATTGATATTGTAGAAAAAAAAACATTTTCATTGTAGCTCCTCTGTGCCCAGTCTTTCTAAAATATGTTGATTTCTACAAAGCCCCTCCTTATGAAAAGCGCAGTGTGCTCTGATTGGCCAGCTGACCCAGTGCGTTGTGATTGGCCGAACATCAGATCTCAAGATTGTGTCGGAAATGTAATTCCCCTTACCATAATTCAGCTTCCAAAGCAATTGTAAAGACCAATATCCAAATATTATAAATAATATTAATAATGTTGTCGGTTTTACCATATCAGTTTAAGCCTGAGTCAGATAAATCTGAATATGCAGATGACCAAGCCGATTGATCGGAACCAACTTTGCAAAAGCGTGACTTGATCAGAACTTTTGGCAGGTCTGGATCAGCCTTCATTTTTAGATCCTTTTGTGGGAGACTTTGAGCTTTGTAACATTGCAGATCTTATACATGCCCAAACAGCTACATACCACACTAAAGAAAATGGAAAACATGGAAAACGCATCATATGGCCCATTTAAATTAAGGAATTAAAAAAGTCAGTCTTAAAGGGATAGCTCTTCATTTACTCACCCTCATGTCATTCCAAACATGTCACTTTTTTCCAGTTGGCCATAGAGTACAATGAAAGTCAATGGGATCCAAGGTTGTTCATCCATCATACAGTATACACACATTAATGATAATGTATATGTGCTTGGACAGACAGATTACATTGCATCATTATAACTGTGCATCTTGTGTTATTTAAGTCCATAATGTTACTGTTATTTAACTTAAACATCACAAATGTCAAATGAATGAGTTCAAACTCTTAGGCCTAACTCATGCTTTGACAGCAGTGCATGCTGGGCTCTGATATGTGACTATTACACATGTATGCTAACCAGCTTCCCTTTGGCATCTGTCATGGAGAGTGATGCTTCGTGTATTGAAGGCATTTTTTTTTTGGTTTTGTTTTCAAGTGGTCAATGTTGAACGTATGAGGGAGTGATGAGTGAAATGCACCTGGTGCTGTTGGCTTCTGCTTTATGGACTAATGAACGTAACAAATTAATTTGAATGAATAAACTAGTAATTAAAGTCGTTGCTGCTTGTTTTGGACGGCATGAATTTAACACCCCCAGCAAGAGGACAGTTCTTTTCCTTATTTCTCTAGTGAATGATTGTCTTCAGATTATGGGTCATTAAAGCACTATTAAGTAACACATCCATATGGCAGCTATACTTGCAGTATTCAGTAATTGTCGTCCTCTCAAAGCATCCTTTTCATTACAGTGGTTTGAAATGAAATAAAATGAGTTTGTGGTAAATAATCCTAAATAAATGTGTAGACAAGTTTCTGCCATTCATAAAATATTAAAAGGCAAGATGGTCATTTTAAAAGTATAGAGCTGGGTTACATCTGAAAAGGAGAGCAGTGGCTTGAATTGAAAAGCAGAATTGAGGGAGACTATTAATGTATTTCTACAAAAATGATCTGTAATGTTTGTTCTACAGCCTTATATTCTTACAGATTTAAAAGTATGAAATTTATCTAAATGCCAGGAATTTTCTTTAAATTGAGTCCTGCACATAATCAGTTGTGTGCCAATTGGGCTGCACATTTGAATGTTTCTACCCTTCATTTCACCTCTGGCCATTCAGCAAGACACAAACAGGTCAGGAAGTTCGGCCAGGTGATGCTTTTCCTCGTTAGTAGGGTGAAGATTATTCAACCCTCTACATTGCGAGTAAATCACTCGCATATGCCACTAAATCTTCACTCCGGGCGACTAAATGATGTCTAATATTAGCCAATGGCTAATAAATTCTCAGATTTTACTCGCCAGTGTGTGAGTTGGAGGCTAAGTATAAGTTTAGCACAGATATATTTTAACTCGCCTAACACTCTCTGACTGAGAGCTTCCGAGTTTCACCAAGCGATCTGTGCAATTTTTTAGTTCATCTGAATGGATGCGCAGCGCACCTGTATTTGACGTACCATGAAGGCGCACGACTCGCCGTCGCTTTGTCTCTCACACACGCAGAGAGAGAGAGAATTGACGCGCTACATGTAAACAATATTCTTTGATATATTTTCCTGTCAAAATAATAGCGTTCCTTTGTAATTCTTCAGCTTTTAAGAACTGCCGGGTTCTCCAGTAGTGGGTGGAGCTAATGCACAAATGACAATCTCATTGGCTGGCACTCACCTATTATCGTCCCTGTTTTGATTTCAGCGAATCAGTTCGAGCAAACGCACACAACCTGATTGATATTCATGAATTAATCCTTAGTTCGTTTTATATTGTTCTTATTAGTAGAATTCTATCATTATCTTATCAGTATTTGTTTGTTTTCCCAATTTTTTTTTAAAGAAACACTGTAAAACTAAGTTGTTAAAATTACTAATATGCATTCATACATGGTTATCAAGTTTTAATTCTAATTACTAAAGTTCTATCAGTAAATAATACTTGATTATCATATTATAATGCTTGGCTAATTGATGTTAAGAGTGTACTTTCAGATATTTAAAAAAAACTGTGCCATTTAACAAACATTATATGAGCAATATCACTCAAGTACGAGCTGTCTCTTGCTCAATTAGGTAACAAAAAATGTCAGGAAACGACACCTCTGGCCGTTCCGTTGGGTCGTTTGTCCAGTCACAGATACCGTACGGACAGTCCGACCCAATACGGCTCAGTTTTTATGCGTATGTTGCTTTGTCGAGCGGCAGAAATAATTTTATGTAAGCCATTCTGAGTCAACACCATGCTTTTCCAATGAGGGGGAAAGGACTGTATGTTGCTTTGTCGAGCAGCAGAAATAATTTTATGTAAGCCATTCTGAGTCAACACCATGCTTTTCCAATGAGGGGGAAAGGACTGTTTTCCCCCACGCCGACTCCGCCCACACAGCTATGACGCGTCACCGATCAAGTCTATATCAGCATGGCGGCAATCACAGCCGCTGATATAGAGCCGGTATCGCTCGAGTACGAGAGTGATATTATGTTTATACTACAGTTCGACGGAACGTGTGTAATGAATGAGAAGTAACCATGGGAACGGATAGCGTATCCTGCTAATATGGCGGCGCCTTCCCGAAATGCAATGCGGAGTTAAAAGATCGTGACGTAACTCCTCATTCTCTATAAGAGAGAAACAATGTGCCAAGACGTGCGATCCAAATGAGAGCGAGAGAGACCGCAAAGCTAGACATTTCTTCTTATATTACTACTCTATGATTAGCTCAGTGAATAATAATTTAAAAAAAAACATAGACCCGGCTAGAACAAGCGGAGTGATACAAAATTGTGAAAGGGCGTTCCTGTAGCGATACCAATACAATATCTCATGGTTCTCAACCAATCAGATTTGAGAACCAGAACGAACCGTTTTATATATAAATATATAGTAATCTGGAGAGTAAACAAAAAAATTTACTAGTCAATGGCGATTCAATTGCCAAGGTGTCCGTAGAGGGTTGTTTATTATTAGGGCACTTTCCTTGGGAACAATAATGTAAGGAAATAATTTCTTCATATATTTTGGCAGTTGGTTACAAGAAGAACTTATAAGACGCTATAGGTCACTAACAATTTTTTTTTTCAGAATTTTCCAGCATTAATGGACAGTTCACTCAAAATTAAAATTGTCATCAATTACTCACTCTCAACTTGTTCCAAACCTGTATGAGTTTCTTTCTTCTGTTAAACACAGAAGAAGATATTTTGAAGAAAGTTGGTAACCAAACAATTGTTGGTGGCCATTGACTTCCATAGTATGGAAAAAAATGTCAATGAGTCAATGGCTACCAGTAACTGTTTGTTACCAGCATTCTTCAAGATATCTTCTTTTGTGTTCAACAGAAGGAAGAAACTCTAAAGAGGTTTGGAACAACATGCAAACAACATAATAAATGATGAATTTTTTTTTTTTTTTTTTTTGTTTACTGTCCCTTTAATTTGTTTAGAAGTATGATAATATTGCCCTCTCCTCTTACTCCTTCGCATTCTATGTCTACCTACCCTTTCATTTGTCTTTTTAAAGTCAGGTGATATTACCTCTTTTTGTCATTAATATTCTTCATCTTCACAGGCCTGGTGCAGAAGGTAGACAAGCGACTGCCGGTTGCCAATGAATACCTGCTGCTATCAGGTGGGGCCAGGGAAGGTGTTCTTGACCTTAACCCAGAGGACCTAGGTGACTACGCCAAAGGTGTTGACTTTGATTTGGACTTCACTCTTCTGGTGCCTGCTCTTAAACTGCATGACCGCAATCAGCCCGTGACACTGGACATGCGGCATTCCCCACCGTGCCATTCATGGCTGAGCCTGCGCCTCTGCGACCCTGCAATGCAGACACGTTGGAGTATCTGCTGTCAAGACGAGGAAAATAGAGACAATAAAGATGTGGAAGATGAGGAGGAAGAAAATAATGCAGTACGAGGCTCAATCCAATCCCTGCAGCCTCCTCAATCATTAGATGGATGTTACTTCTCTCCGTTGTTGGTTACTGATTGGTTCTGGAGTGTAGTTGAAACAGTGGTGGAAGAGTTGCGGCGAAATCCTCAAAGAGGAATTCCTGTTCCTGATCGTGTGGAGCGGAATGGTCCACTAACAACGCTGATTCTCAGTGCAGGAACTAGCCGTATCCTTTATGACTTGCTTCCAGTGGTGTCATTTCGCGGCTGGCCGGCTGTTGCACAGAGCTGGCTCACGACCAACCATTTCTGGGATGGCAAAATAACTGAGGAGGAGGCCATCAGTGGGTTCTACTTGCTTCCTTGTTGTTCTCCAGCTGCCAGCCCCTCAACCAGACCTGACCGCGAATGGAGACTTGCCTTCTCCCGCAGTGAGGTTCAGCTAAAGAAATGCGTGCCCTACCCAATGGCACAAGCCTTCCAAGCAGCTAAAGCTGTACTGTCAAGACTATTAACTCGCCCTCGCACTGGCCTTAGCCTCTACCACCTACGTACCTTGATGTTTTGGGCTTGTGATCGCTTGCCTACGACCTACCTTAGCTGTCCAGATCACGAGACTCCTGCACGGATGTTCCTTGGTCTACTTGATGACTTGGCTCACTGCATTCTGGGCAAAAACAGTCCTAATTACTTCCTCCCCCAGTGCAACATGCTGGAGCACCTCACGGACAGCGCTGCCCTGCTAGTGGCACGAAAACTTGCACATTTACGTTCTGATCCCGCAGAGCACTTAAGAGCAGCTTTGGAGCAGGCACAACAGGCATGCCAGCTCAAACGTGAGGCCGCAGTAGCTGCGAGCAATGGCCATGGGATATCATCACCTAGCCATGGATATGGTGCAGGATCACCACAGGATGATCGGCTAGCGCAGCGTCTACAACAGCTGGTGACAGAAAACCCTGGCAAGTCTATTTCAGTCTTCCTCAACCCAGATGACGTTACACGCCCGCATTTCCGCATTGACGACAAGTTCTACTAAGTGGACTGAGCTGGTTTACACGCTGCCCAGGGTGTAAATGACATAAACCCTATACGACAGAACTTATAGAGGACATAGTCATGTCACTGTGCTACTGTATCACACCAAATAGTAAAATTGAGTCTCCACAGAGGGTTTTCTTCCCTCTGTTTGGCTCAACCAGGCTGACTACAATCAAAGCACTTGCTTGACACTCCAATGAGGGATTGTATGAGTTTCACAGGTGTCACAAATGTCAGGGAGAACAAAAGTAAGCGGGCAAGGATAGATTTTAGTTATGCGACTCATATAAAATCTAAATTCAATTGCAACCAAAGGAAATCCCCATTGGCAAGACTGCACATCAAGTAGACTTTATTCAATGATACTATTCTGTAGAGTTCAAAGACTTTTTTTTTTTACTTGCTACTCAATACTACTGAGAAAGGAAACTACTATTTTCTGCTGTATTCCACAATGAATCCCGAGGGCAGTAGAACTGGAAAACCAACTAGGCCAAGGTACATTATGATGAAATCGAATGTAATTTTTTTTGTGTGTGTATGTGTGGAGAAGTTTGCGACTGTTGATCACATAATCTTCTCTTTCTTTAGTCCGTCAGTTACCCTGCTTGCTCCCTTTCTCAGGTACTTTTTTTTCTTTCTTTTAACTGGTGAGTCTTGAGTTATTCTACAGTCAAAAATAACAAAAGCAGAAAGCGAGAAAAGGGCAAGGAATAACTTGCAAATCTAGGCCTTGTCCTTTATGCATCAGAAGCTGTTGTACAGTCCACAGAAACGAGTATTTGAAACCAATGCTGTTCTAAGCTATTTTTGGTGACTTTTTTTTATTTTTTTTTTAGGTTAAGTTAAATGCAGATGGTGCTGTATCAAGTTTCAGAGACTATTTTAGGGTAGTTGGATAATGATAGGTTGAACTGACGACACTGATTGATGCAGATTTAGTATCTTCTTGGTTCCTGATTGGATTCTAAGCTGCACATAAATAAGCAGTATGTGTTAGTGTTATTCTAAGGGCTTTTCTTTGTCAGTCATTGTTGCATATGTCTGGGTAAAGTGGAATATGAAAGATGCTTTGGAATGTGGGATTTTGTGGTGATAGGTTTGCCAGCACTGTTTGAACTGGAATAATAGAAAGACAGATCTAGAGTGGGCAACAGAGGTTTAGAGAAATGATAGAAGGAACATGTAAAGATACAGAGGAATGTATTTCCGTGTCTTTTGTGCTTGTAAAAGGGTCCTACATTATCTCACTCTTGCAGATTTGCATTGGTAGCTGTGGGAGGCAGAGATGGATGGAGAAAGTCAAACACGTCGTCCACTGTATAGATTAGGCCGAACCAATGGGACTCTTGGGACTGTAGACATCTGCTCTCCCTCACTCATTTTTGTTTTCTGTCTGCGTTTTAAATCCTTCCCTCTTCTTTGGCCTCCATCTCTGGCTGTTCTTTATCCATCTCTACCTTTTTGACTATGCTCAAGGATTAAAGTACAATGTTACTTACATGTGTATTCAGCATAAATCGCGTTAGGGCCCTGTGGGAGTTGGCAGACTATTTGTGTGTGCTGACGATATGGCTGCTGCGCATATACAGAGCAATCAGTAACAGTGTTGCCTTTGAATGATGGTGAAAATGGTGAAGAATAGGCTTTTTCTAGTGGTTTTCTGATTCCAATATGTGAGATGTGCTACTGAAAGGAATTTGTGTAGTGTTGCACATGGTACAGGTTGGCTATTATATATAATATCTGCTGTATGCCAAGGAAAAGACACCAAAGAGAGTTTAAATTACCGATTGCTTAGATTAAATGTCATAAAGGAAAACGGATTTATCTCTATTGTATATTGTGAGGGTGTGACACTGTATACCTTAAAAGGCCTGTTTAGTGGGTTTAAAAATTGTAAAATGCTTGAATCAGTATTTGTAATGCTATTTTATATTGTTTTTTTCTGCATGTTATAAACTGTTGTTCAGCACAATGTTGGATATCAAATGAACAGTGGTACTATGCAATATTTCATAATCATCTCTATGAATGTGATATTAGGGCCTGCCATGCCTGTGATAATTACCAAGAGTGTTTTATACAATGATTTCATTGGAAATTTTTATTTTTTTATTTTGGCCTCAAGCAGAAAAGAAAATATGAATGTAAGCAACATATTTTACCTCTTGAATTAATCTGGTCATGAAATCAAATTCCCTGAATGGAAATGGAACAATGCATACTGTATTTACATTGTACCAAATATTTATATATTTCATATAATTTAATTAATGTGCCTCAGAAGGCTTTTTTCCCCTCTTATTTTCTTTTGTGTAATTATGTGTGATAATGCTGGTCATAGCATGAAATAAAACATTACATCTATGAGGATTTGTACTGTTTATACTTGACTTGGTCATCTCAAATCTCAAAGATATGATCTATTCTCTAAAGACAAGATTTCTGTCAGGTTAGATGTGTTTCTCGATAGGAGCTTTTAAGTATGCCAAACTCCAGGTATTACCCCTAAAAACAAAGTGCATTTGTGCTTCATGATTCGTATTAGTGGAAGAAAACATACAAAATAATATTTAGAATTAAAAGGCAGGATAATCCTACAAAAAGTCTCAGATTTTGTACTCTGTGCAATTCGATATTGGTCCAACAGAGGATGCTGGTTGACTGCAAAGTGTTCGCTTGAACTGTAACCGTTCTTTCTGTACCCATTCTATATGTCACTGTAACTGCCATATCTCTGCTCAGTCTCACAAAACATAATTCTGTATTAGTACATAGACATATACACACTGGAGTCCACATTGACAATGTTTATTTTTATTTTATTTTTTCATTTAAGCTTGAAAAACTTTTAGGATTTAGAAAAAGTGAAAACCAAGATAAGCTATGATATAAAATGCAGAAGAAAGAAGATTCTGCACAAATTCTGCATCACTAATCGGAGGTAGTTTGTGGTGTTTACCATGTTAAGTCTGGGGGAAAAAAGCTGGGATAACATGGATTTACACAAACTTGTGGAATCCATGCCAACTTGAGTGCTGCTGTCTTTCATGCAAAAGTGAGATGTACCAAATACCAAGACATTCAAACTTTCACTTAAATTACTCCACTAATATTATAATTTGTGATTTTTGTAATATTAAATTAAAGAGGAGCAAATATGGAAGTGTGTTCACTAATGGACGTTTGGAACACACTGTTGTTCATGATATAAATTAATTGCAATAACTAGACTGGCCCTAACCATAATTATCTTGCTTTAACATTTTAAATGAATCAAGACATTATGCATCTCCTTTAGACATGTGGTTTAGTTGCGTTTTGCTGTCCTACTGGGTTCATTTTGACATTCCATACCCTCAAAATGTCAGAATCTCCTCACACTTTCTCATCTGAGCTGACTCACACACTCCAGCTAACCTGTGATCACATGTCAAGATGTGCATGTTTGAGGTTGATCGTTTGTGAGATTGACTAAATGATTGTACATTCATTGTATAATGACAAATTTATTTAGCGCAGATGTCTGTTATTACATATGCTGTCTAGTGTTTAATAATTTAAGGCTTTGTATCTCTTAAGCACAGCAGTGGTTAAAGGGCACTTTGATTGTGGTTGATGGATGGATGGATGAATGGATGTTTAGCCGGTACTGAAGAGCTTCAGACACTTCTGAGAAAGATGAAGTTGCAGGCTCATATTTTCCCACATATTGGACACACACACATAGTCTCACTGATACCTCAGCAGTCTGTCCTGTTTCATAAAGAGGATTACACATCAGGCACGAGGGGATTTCCTGGAATGGGACACTCACATCCTGTCTGTCAGTCATTCAGCTGTTGTCATGGTAACATTGCTCTTGCTGGACATTTCTTCACCGTAACCGCCAACTTGACTCATCCCGCTCAAGGTTGAGCAGGGGACAGATGTGAGATTTGATCCTCCAGGGTCACTGAGGGAGGGACATCTCTTAGTTTTGTCATCCTGCTAGTGTAATTTGTTTCAGTATTCTTGGCATGATGTTACTAGAGTGATCCTAATGGAATTAATATAAATGACAGTGATCTCTCTCTCTCCCCTCTCCTTCCCTTGATGTAGTGGAGTCATTAAACACAAATTGAAGGCCGGGGGCCAAATCAGTTCTAATTTTGATGATGACAAAAAATATGAACCTGTTTTATTTTTTTTATTTTATTTTTTTGCATGATGAAAGCAGTGGTGATGAATGTCCTGGGGTACATTTCCCAAAAGCATTGTGAGATTATAGAGACCATTGGTGCAGTGGTTCCTTCGATTTGCTGATTACAATGCTTTTTTGGGGGGTTGTTTTTATGGTTGTTTTGCACTGGTGAAACAATCTTCCGAACTCAGCCAGAACAGCTCTCAAATCCATAAAAACACAACTTTTCCTCAAGCATTCAGTTCACAGCTATTCATAGTCATTTTTGTTCTGTACTCCTTTGTGAAACTGAACCCTTTCTTAATATCTTTGTAGTTGGATCTCTGCACTAGCTTGTACCCTTCTGGCCTTTTTTTTATTGCAGTACTGTTAATGTTATTATTTCCTTTTAATGAATAGTTTTTGTTGTAGTATTCCTCGCAAGTCACTTTGGAGAAAAAGTGTCAGCTAAATTAATAAATGCAAACTGAAATCAGAGTATTTAAAATGCAGGTCTTGAGATTCTTAATTCTTAGAGAGGTATAACTGTACGATGATTTGAATAGCTTATCAAAAAGCTCAAGTAGAAACTTTGATTAAATTCACAGTATTGGTTGTATGGGCAAAATCGCTTTCAGTTATTTCATTCAACATCACATGCACAGTCTTTGAAGGTCTTAATTTGTCCATGTACATTTACATGTTTGGCAGACGATTTTATCTAAAGTGATTAACATTGCATTCAAGCTGTACATTTTATCAGTTCATGCATTCCTTTGGGATCAGACCCTTGAAATTGGTGAAGGAATATCCACATTCACTGCCAATCAGGTAAACTTCTTCATTTGTTTGCAACTGCCTGGCTGCCATATATAGGTAAAGATGTTGCAGAACCCATCCAAACTATTTTAAAACTAGTATTCAGCAGCTGGGATAAAAGTACAGAGGTTGTGACATTTATGAATATATATTTGTCTGCTTACCATTTGTGATTAGCTAAATATTGTTATGTGGGAGCTGATGGAAATGCACCAGTTCAGCAAATTCATTATAAGAGATGTCTCTAGCATTTAATTGACTGTTTCATATAGTGAGTAAGGTTATTTGTGAGCAACATTTGTTTGGTGTCATGCTAAACACTGCTACTCATAAGTAAAGGGCATTGCTTCTTGCAATTAGCAAAGTTTACCTGTAACACAGTGCACAAGTTTCTTGCCAACCTCATCCTGAACAGTTTTCTTGGACTAAACACCTTGTAACCCTGCAGTGAATTTCCAATCTCTTCTTGCAATACAGGTGCATCATTGTCTAGGCCTGTCTTAACTCTTTATGCTGACAACAGGCCATTAGCCCTCACTTTGTGTGTGTGTCCAGCTACAGAGTGCCAGCTTTGTTACCTGTTCCAGGTAAAGGGGACTGGGCCAGAACTGAGCCCTGGGCATTCTGAGTAATTAGGCCACAGTGTAACTCAGCTCATAGAAATCAAATTGCCTGACCAGTATTATTGTAATTCATTTTCCTGTGCTCTACTCGTATTTGAATAGTTCCTGTGTCCATAGACCTATTTGAATTGTTTCCCCATATGGAGATTTTGGTGGAGTGAAGTGTAAAAATATTAATATGGTTTATGCTGCCTGTACTGTATCTTTATATTGAGAGGAGGGGCATTGAAAATGAAACAAATGTAATTATGTGTAATTACATAAATAGTTTTATGTAACTAAAATAATTGTACATTTTTTCATATATACGTATACATTTTTTGACATATATATAGTTTATATAATGTAAAACTGCTATAATGTAATTCAAAGTCTGTAATATATTTATAGTTTATAAGTTATATAGTTTAAATATAAAAAAATAGTTTTAATGTCATTTTAATAACGTTGTCATTTATTATAGCTTCTCTAGTCTATTAATTACCCATAAGCAATAGAGTCAACGTGAATGGATTGTCTATACTCTTGTGCCACTTCAGCAGAGGTCAAGCGACGCACCTGATATAGAGCACATCTATTGCACATGCTGTTTTGTCATTTATCTTTCATGATGTTAGATGGAGATACTTGTGTTTTTCCACCTCCACAGCAATGTTTCTCTCTGTCACTCCCTCAACAACTAATTCCCTCCATCCATCTTTCATCCTTCTCTATTTCCACCCAGCCCCCCTTCATACGTCTCTTTTTCCCATTGTCTCTCTCTGTTTTACCCCCCTGTTCTTTTACTGGTCTACATTTATCTCCATTAGATATCCATAGGATCCGAGGGGAAGAGAAGATCATTCATCGCTTTCTTTTACTCTCTGTTTACTATGAAAACAAAAAGACACGACCAGGTTGAGAGGCTTTCTTCCATGAGACTTGAGTTTCTGCTATAATCTTGTCTTTTTACCCTTGTAAAATCTTATTTAGCTCTGTCTCACCTCTTTGTGGTTCCCTGCTTTAGTTTGTTATCATTATTTCACAATTGACATTAGATTTTCTGGGATAGGTGGTTCAGCCAAGTTTTTTTCCTTCCAAGGAAGGTTGTAGGTGATATTATTTACTGTCCTTCAGCCTCCTCTGAGGAATATTGTTCTGGTATGACTATTTATGCATGCATGTGTCTTGTTTCTAGATCTTTACATTTCTTACGGTCACACTTTTGCTCTGTTCCAACAACTAGTGAACATTTGAGCTGTCATAGGCACTGCTCTAGAAAGTAGGCATTTTAATTATACTTGCCTTCTAAAACTCAGCCAAAATCTAAAGCTGTGTCACATGTATCCTTTATGGAGGACACGATCCCATAATGCATTGCGATGAGCTCAATACCATAATGCATTGCGATGGGTGGAAAAAACTGGCAAAGTCAGAGAAATGTTTAAGAATTCTCATGGTTTCCAAGGCTGCATTTATTTGATCAGTACAGGACTGTAATCTTGTGAAATATTATTA